TCTTCCCTTCATTAACACTTTTAATTGGATGTTGCAGCTGAATTTTCCTTCCATGTTAGCTGAAGAGGTTAGAAACGAAGCTCAGAACTGAACACGGAAATTATACAAAATTAGAATGTTCCAACATAACACAGGAAAAAGAAAGCTAAATTCCCTATCCTTAATTCACCTCACTGTGCTTTGTGTAGCCACTCTTGCAGAATCAAACATTATTAACGCCACTTAGGGAAAACTCCCACTGCTTTTGCTGGCAGTTTTGCTCAAGTAAAGTCTGTGTGGTCGGGACAGCGGCTTGCAGAGTCAACAGCTCGCTGCCGACCTGCCAAGAATGGAGTCTGCAATGCCTGGCTTGGCGAGAACGGTCCTATTCTCAAATGCAAGGTCCTCTAATGTGTAAAGTGTAAGAGAAAAATCTGTAAAAGGTGATGAGTGATGCAAATTGTTACACTCCACGGAGAAAGATGTAACGGTATCAAAACTTTGCTGGTTGCTCAAATGGAATAGCAGATTTTGGATGTTGAATTATATTTGATGTAAACATAAACTGCCAGTGAATCTTTCTAAAACGTGGCACTTGGTAAGCTCAGCTTTTCTGAAGGAGCGGTGCAGTCCCAGAAACTGAGCTTTGCCCAGCGTAGTCAGGGGGACCGAACACTGTAGGTACTCAAGCAGCCGTTGTGGAAACCCACCGCGAAACCACGCGCGCATGTTCCAGGCACAACGGAGCAAACGGGGAAATTACTTCCACAAGTCTGCGGGAAGGCCACACTGCTATGGCACCACGCTGCTTCTGAGTGGCAGTGCGTATGGGAATTCTGGCACCAGCCTTACGAAACAAAGGCTCAAGGAGCGCTGTAAAATGGCGCGCTCTGCCTTTTAGAAGCAGCTAAATATCCCCAAAGAGGACATCAGGATGGAGCGATGCATCTGTGTTGAAGCCAGGAGGGACACCAGCCTTTGAGGTTTTGTCTGCCACAAAGCAGAACCAAACTGCAAGTTATTAATGGCTCCGTTGGTGCTTTTTTGGAAAAGCTTTTTCAGTTTCTTCCTCTGTTCTAACGTACTGACATTGCCAGCACCCTCTGCTTGCATCCCAGAGGGAAAAATGTATTTAATATGTATTTAATGTGTGATTCTCGAAGCTCCCAAATCAACAGCAAGAAGGATCACAGAAAACTAAGCCATCAACAGCTCCAGGGTTGCAGGGACATACAAAGAGGAAGAAATCACCCCTGTGACCTTACAGCCCAGTGGACAAATAGACTTGTTTCCACAGAGACTTGCATGTCCCCCAGATGTGAGTGCAGGCCCTCCAGGCTCCTCTGAGCCGCTGCCTGAAGCCAGGTTCTGCTCCTCGCTGTTGCTCTGCTGATCCTGTTAATGCCTGTCACCATGGGAGGTGGCACTGCTCATTGCAACAAGTGAAACAAAGGGCTAATGAGACATAGGCAACCTTTTGCCTTTTGAACTCCCCAGGGTTCTTAATTAACTCACATTTTGTAACCACAACTAATCGTTTCCTGCAAGTCTTGGGAATACAGGGGGAAAAATAAACCCACAGTTCAGTGCATTTGGGGAAAAAAGCCTGACTCACAGAAGCGCCAGTTGGGTTTCACAAAATTCCGACTTTTCATAGGCTTGTGGTATTTATGCACGCTGCGTACCTGCCTGGCTGAAGGCCAGACTGCCTTGAATCTGTTTGCCTTCCCTCATAATGGGAATACTGGGCTGCTCTGCTGAGAGGGCTTTAGGAAAGAGAGATCAGATATTCTTGCTTTTTAGTCATTGTCAGACAGCTTTCCCACTGCTCAGTTACAGCAGCAAAGAAAAGAAGAGGTAGAAAGCTTTGAGGTACCTCAGAGGGAAAAGGCAAAGGTGTGCTGATGTGTGATACAGATTATTCTAAAAAGAAGCTCTGCTGTGTGCCTTCCATCGTGCAGAGGTGCCGCAGGAGGTGAACACGGCTGTGAAATGCTTCGGCGTGTTTTGTCTCAATGACCATTGCAGTGACCGCTCTGCAGATAAGAGGACTGTGTCTCTGCAGTCTGTGGGCTGTACAGAGCACGGCTCTGGCGCTCCACGCGGGTGAGGAAGGAGGGATTTACTCGCAGTTGGTGTTGCCTTTACAGGAGTTCGTGAGCACCAGCAGCAGGTAGGCTGCTGCCATCCAGACAACACGCTGATGCACAATAAGGAAATTTTAGCTGCCGCCAAAAGCATGGGAAAGGAAGGAATTCAAAGTCAATGCAAAACTTTATCAAACTCTAAAGACCTTTAAGACAATTTTCACATTGGACTAACAAGAGAACAGTACTGACTTCTGCAAAACCTGTCACGATCCATCCATGATCTCTGCTAGACTTCCAGCCAGGCACTCCTACTGCCTCCAGGCTTGCAAGTTCATCCCTGGTCTCTGCTGTGCTCTGAGCATTTCTGCAGTTTTCAAATGTTAATGCAAAATGTAATCTACAATATCCCATTTGAACAAACAGCAATCAATCTAATATGCTACAGCTCAATTACTTCCTTGGTCTGTTTAACAGGTGCTGTCAAATAAATCTACTGAATAAATCAGTCCCATTGTAACCATTAGGAAGGCTTTTATAACTGCATTTGCTGAGTGGGAGGACATTTTTCTCACAGTTTTTTACTGAGAGTCAGATAAAAACCATACTAATCAAGAGAGACATGCAATAAATGCCTTGGAGGTGAATTCCTGTTTATACTGAGGTCTTTTTGTCCTCCACTCATTTGAGGATTCTGATGCTACCACAGCAAAGAGATCCGAGCCCTTTGGATCCAGGCCAATTTTCATCATGGATGGACTGGGAGATGCCTAAAATACTGAGGCTGCCTGCATAATATTTTCACACTGAGAACCTCTGCATCATCTGTGTTTTATTCTTCTGTCACTGCTTGTCCTTTCTTATTCCTGGCAGAAGACTCACGGGGACCTCCAGCAAGGGCATCTGCAGGGATGGAGCTGGTCCCCATTATAGAAAATGTCTCTATGTATATTTCTGTTATGCTACTGCACTATATTTGCAGCAAAATCCATCTTTGCTTTCTTGCCACTTCAAAAAATACTGCCCCTGAATATTTCTTTCCCATTTTTGCTCCTTTTACTTTTAAAATGTTCATCAGACTGCACTGTATTTCTTTTCATAAACCTCCACGGTCTGGAAAATGGATCAAGAGAATGACACCTACTTAATATAGGTTTTTCCCCCTGCAGGCGTTGCTTCCTCCCCCCCTCAATGCTTTGCAGTAAGATTAAGCAAGTGAAAGTGTCAGCTCTTTCTGAAACGAGAACAGCGCTGGGATTGTCTGTTGGCATCGTGCAGCATGGATACAGATGCACAACAATAGAAGATCAGCAGATAGCAGCTCTGCAACCATTATTCACTTAGCTGAAATGTAAATACTGCTCCTCTGGGGAAGAACGGAGAGGCTGCTGCGAGCCAGGCAGGATAAAGTCTGCAGGACTCCAGGGGGTTTCAAAGTTCAGGAAGCAGAAGGTCAAGAGAAAAGGGGTTTCTGAAGAGAAGTCGAAGAGAGGAGAGTAACACAGACTGAACTAACAGGAAAAGTCACCCTGGTGCCACCACGGCTTGACTTCTTTGGCCATTTTTCTTTTCATGCCAGCAACAGATGTCACTGCTTACAAGCGACTAATGGCAACTCTGGGGACAGTGAAAAAATAGATGTGGGAGCATGAGGAAATACTAACCAAGGCAACCCAGTAAGATGCAAAGACAGAAGAACAGCTACAGTGCTGGACCATGTTTAAAAGCCTCTACTATACCACTTTCTGCTGGGAAGCCTACATTTTGTTCTGCAAAGTCTCCATTTTAGCTGTACAGCATTAAGCCCTGTGCCTTCTGGCAAGGGCTGTACATAGCGAAGTTATCATGAATGAAGTGAGCTGGTAACAGTTGGGTATTTATAGGCTCAGCGGGCTGGTGCTCCAAAAAATCTGAAAGCATTTAAAAGTGCCTTTGGCTCCAGAGCAACGCTGACAATCCCTCCCAGCTTGTGGGGACATTTGGGAGGGGTCACAGCAGGAACGACGACAGTGGGAGTATCCCGAGCTGTGTGCTGAGCATCTTCCAGTCCAGTTTGCAGAGAGCGAAAAATGAGTTAAGACATTAAAATATGGAAAAACAAGATTGCACGTCCAAGATTACTGTGAATGTGAGCACACAAGCCAATTTCTGCATGATTTTCTGTGGAAGAGCTCACTCATGAATAGAGACAAGAGAATGAGATCATTAGTTTGCTTAGGGTAATTGAGTTGAATATTGCTAGACATATAATACAGTAGCTTATCATTAATGACACGAGATAGCTTTGGGGAAACTAAATCTCTGCCAGACATAACAGGTGATTTTCTTCCTGCTTCCTGGAGACCAACACTCCAAAAACGCAGCAGCCCCGACCTAGCAAACCAGCCACCGATATCACAGAGCTTCTGTAATTACAAACTGGTTCCTGCACCGCGGCGTCAATGCAATGCAGGGGCCCAAGGTACAGGGCCTACGACCTTGCCCCTGGATGAACCTGAACAGTGTTGAAAGCTCTGCCAAGATAAGATTGCAGGTTGCAGATGCTCCACAGTCGTGTGTTTGAGCTCCAGGGCTCCCAGCTGCTGATCCTACCTCCCTGCGGATCTGGGGCTTGCAAGACAGTAAGGTTTTTCTTGGAGAGTAACGACATTTTCTGTCTCCAGTATGAGATACTGCAAAACCAAAAAAACCCCCACCATATCCAACAAGAGAGGCAAATTCTCACTATTTTGCTCAATACTGAGCGCTGGCTGGGCCAACAGAATCAATACTGAAGTCTGAGATGAGCGTTATCTCAAAGAAAGGAAAGAAGGACAACGTACATAGAGGTGCTCTCTCCAGTATCCTGTCTTCCCATATCAATCAGTGTGAGGTTACAGTGCTGCAAGCAAAGGGCAGATGGAAGAAGGTGAGAATGTAAGAAGTACTACTTACTACAGACGAAAGGTCCATGTTTACCATCCTCCGGTCATCCAAGTCGACTGGCTGGAGGCCTGCAACATTGATCTGGGCAGAAGAGGTTCTGTACACAAACCCCAGCAGCCAGTCCCCCCTAGGAGCAGAGCAGAAGAAGAGTGTGAGTAAAGCCTGTTGCCAAACCAATGCAATATGTGACTACTGAGACTACAAGGAGAGTAGAGGGGCCGGGGAGCACAGTGATGTCTGGCCCCAGACCTGCTGCAGCTTTGTCTGACATAGGAATCAGAGCAGCTGCTGAATTCAGGGCAGGTTCCTGGGACACAGCGGTGTAAGTCTGAATTTAATCCTGATTCGTGGGTGTCCTGATTCATGGGTGTAGTCTCATTACATGCAGGTTTAAAAATCTGACCTTTCTATTTATTTCTGTATTTGCTTAGCGATTGCAATACATTCACATATTTAATCTTTTTAATGTACAGGTAGAAGTTCTCCAGCTTGTAGACGGCTGTAAACGTGATGAGGCCTACAATACCAATGTTGCTGACATAAATATCGGCTGCAAAGCTCCTCAGAGTGCTCCTGATTTATAGGTACTGTACAAATACATGGTTTCAATGACAAAACTAGGCAGAGTTTGTTCCCACCGTAAAGTATTGCCATAAGTCGCTGTGACAGTTTCAGGGTAGACTACAGCACGATGAGAGAAGGCAACGAGTCCTTTGGAAATAATAATCTCTTCTCCTGTGCTGAGCAACAGCACAAAATCCAGGCACCTAAATACTACTACACTCTAGAAAGTAGATCTAAGTTGGACACAAGTGGTATTTATGCTCTGTGGTGGCAGCAGGTGAAATGCACCTGCACAGGTTACCATTTTTGGCTGCTCCTGTCCGCTCCAGAATGGTCCGTGCTAGAAGCTGTGAGTCTATGCGGAGCTCTGCAAACTCTTTGCAACGCATCCACGCTACTCGGGCATGGGCTCTTCCAAAAGCTGAGTGAGTGTAACTGATTTGGTTAAGGTTTCCCATTAGGAATTTGTAACCCTGCTGTGAAATTGGAGGGGACAGCTCTGAGAGCGAGCTTTCACTCTCCATGTCCTTTCAGACTTCAAAGCCAAAGGAAACAAGCTACAGCAGACTGAAGCTCAACAAATTGGGCCCAGATCTCATCTTGCAGGAGTTTTAGTCAATGTAATTCATCTGACCTAAACAGAGTTACTCCTAAAGTGACAGAACGAGGCCACAATTTGTAGAAGCAAGAGACAAGAGAAATCAAAATCAGGTGGGGACTTACCACAAAATGTTTGTATAATCCTTCTCTCATGTCTAATATCCTCACACAAATTCTCCTATCTCTCAGTTACCTCTAGCTGCCCCTCGTGCTAACTGAAGAACCCTCAGATTCAGCATCTGAGGGTAAAGTAGAGAACCAGCATAGTGGAATATTTCCTGACGGTCTCCTCACGTGCTTCTTCCTATTTGTGAGCAACAGGCTACAATTTCTACATCATTTTTCATTCAGCATTCAAGACATGGGCTTGCCAAAGCAGAGACTAACCAAATTACTGCGCACACAGAGGCACAAACACACATACGATTTCACTCCAACAGTACTTGCAGGATTTGAAACTGTAATAAGATATTTTTATATATATATAGGAAATGAATACACTGCGCTTTTTGCAGTGAAATGGATTTTTGTATAACACAGGGAGGAACAACATTTGCCAGGGCAAATTCAGTTATACGCAACAATTGCTATCAGTTATGGCTTATTGGAGGAACACAGAAGCACTCCCAAGGAGGCAGCAATTGCTTTTTCCTTATGTCACATGAAGAAAGACTGTAACTGGTGTGCACATCTGGCATCTGTAAAACCTCCTGCCATCCAAAAAGGACAAAAGCAACAATTTTCAGCCTAACTGACAGAAGGGATTAATAATTTGTTAGTTTAATCTTGAATGCTTTTAATTCCTTCATTTAGTTCCTCTTTGTAAATTAATATACTATGTTAGATGCACAGTAATACAGTACTTCCTCATCTTATACGTATATATGTAGGCATACATATGTATCTGCGGATGGAAAGTACCGACAGCATTTTCAACCGTCCTTGACCTGAGGGCTCGTGGCTTTATAAACTGTCTTGACTTGCAGTTACATGCTCATTGCTAATCTTCTTGCCTGGTTATTTCTCAATTTATTTTCTCTTAGTCTTCCCTGCTTCATTCCTCCGCTTTAAATTCACCTCTTCTAACCGTGCGACTAAGCAGTCTTCTTGTCACAATTATCTTCCAATACACAGTCATTAGATTTGATACTGTCACCTGAATTCCTGACAGCTTTTATTAGATTGCTTCAGCTGTTTCGTGCCTCTGAATCTCCCTCTGCTCACCCAGCAGCTTTCACAGCTCTGCACAGAAGTTGTCTGTGCAGTTTTAACAGGCTGATATTTGGTTTCAAGGTGACCTTTCTATTCTTTCACATCCTTAGTAAATTGCTACAGCTATTCCAGCTATACCTGCTTTGTAAGTAAAATACCTTGTTCACATGGACTATCTTGACCAGAAACCGAGTCTAGGTATAAAAAAATCTTCGATTTGCTTGAGCTCCTTCCCTTCCATTCCAATTTTCACATCTTGTTCCCCACAAGCAGCCCCTAGTGAATTATATCTTGAAGCTCTGATAGATTTTAATTCACATTCTTGAACTGCTGGCGAACTTAACAACTGTATTTATAGGCCTTTACATAAAGCTGACACTTAAAGGGGCCTTAGAATATGCCAAATTATGCACACAAACACACTGACCCAGCTTTAAGCTGCCAGGGTGACGTAACCCTGCCGCCGTATGAACAGAACCTACATACTTGAGCCCCCCAGGCTTCCAGCGTGACAATGCGTCGCAAACAGCCAGAGCTGGAGACAGAGCAGCCTTCAACGGTCTCCTGAAGACTGTGATCTCCCGTTAATCTGAGGGAGAGACCTCCGCAGGGAAGAGGCCCTGGCACTGCTGTCTCTGCCGCTACTGGATCAACGCACTCAGCAGCTGAACAAATACTCACAAAAAGCTGAAAAGGGATAAATGTACCAAATCACTTCGAAGTGACGCTAGGATCAGGAAGCAGGGGATGGAGCATGTACAGACCTGCAGTAACCATTTATGATCCTGCCCGACACCACTTTTGTGATAGCTTTCCAGTACTTGGTTTCTCCTTCCACTGGAGCTCCCAGTAAGACCACATCTTCAATGATCCCCTGAGAACCTGTTAAGATGAGAGCAGAACAGCTCAGATTTAGAAGAGGCATCAGGAAATACATAAGAGGGAGAAGTGGCCTGGACCCTGGCCAGAAAGATGCAGTTCAAGCAGCAAACCTGTGGAAAGTCCTTTCCACAGAGCTGTTGATCTGGGTTTGCACAGAGCCGAACTCTTACGCTTTGAAACAGGGACTGACATGCCTTACAGTGGAAAATGTTGTCATATATTAAGCACGACAATCTCTTCCCACAACCAGTCCTTAGAGCTGAGTTTGTGAAAAACATGACCTGTACACGCAACAGAAAAACCCCAAATTCTTAATATTGACTGGGAACTAGCAACAATGAAGGCACTTGCCAGGACAAAGTGATAATCTATCAAATTGATTTTCTTGAAGGGCACTTTAACCTGAATGCCCAGGGCATGATTTGCTGAAAAGGAATGTTGACTTTTAAGCATAATAAATCTTCCTCTCTTATCAGACAGCTGCAGCTGAGGAAGTTCAGTAGAAATAATGATTGAATGAGAAATACTGGGCAGCTCTGGTACTTTCCTAAACTCATAAACAATATATTTAATATCTGTTCATGAATCTTCTTTGTAAAGAGAGGTTAGGCACCTGGTGCCATAGCAGTTAAGTGAAATCCACAGCAGCACACGTCATGGGAGACTCATGGGCATAGCATGCCCAATCCGTGCTCCCCACCTGTGGGAGACCAGCGCGCGCAAGATGCGAGCTAAACCATTCTCAGGCTGGTGCGTGCAGTTTGTAAAATAATATGCTGAAGTTTATGGTGAAGTGAAAGCAAGAATGGCTGCCTACCACATCAAGTTATGATGGAGAGGTGCTGCCTGGCTAGACTTTTTAAACGTAAATCAATTTGTTTCCTTTCTCTCATAGCCGTAAAAGACTTGGAGCTGCCTGCAGTGCCTGCATCCTGCTCTGCAGGGTAAACCCCAGTGCCTGACAACAATCCAGAAGAGCTCTCGTGGTATTATTTCTTATTGCAAAGCAAATTTTGCACCAATCAAGAGAAGAACAAATAGCAATTCAATTTTGTTAGTGTAATCTGTGAGCAATAAAGTCCTGTTCCCATAATCACGGGCAATGAAAAAGAAACCCAGAGCCTTGTGAACGGGGAGCTCGTTCCAACCAAGGTACTAAATTCCATGGCCACAGTGCGAGCCAACTGAATAAACAAACAGCTAATTCATCAGGATCCTGAACATTTGGGCAAGGTACTGGAAGCTTTTGTTTCTCCAGTCCTTTGTGTAGTTTATTTCTTGCTCATAACAAAAATGTTCAGCCTTGGCTGAAAAATACTCATTTTCTTCAGATACTGACAGAGGGGGACGGAAAGCTGAGAACAAATCACCAGCCTACATAGTTGCTGACGATCTAGATAAGTTAAATGTATTTCACAGTTTGCAGATACTTTATATGATGAATAAAATCTGCACAGCAGGAAAAGGAAAAAGAAAAAAAGCAATTACTGATGGGCAAAATTTTAAAACTGGTAAGATGACGTGTCCAGAAAAGGTGCAGAAGATACAAGGTGACCCAGAGGCCACAACCAGTCCTCGGGAGCTGGGCTTTGCTCTGCCTCTAGGGTACAACTCACTGGACAAAGAGGAAAGCGTCTCGTCGTGTCAGTCCTCACTGAGAAGAGAACAGGGGTGGAATTTAGCTCTCTCTGGGCACTGTCCAGACCCGGTGCCGAGGACAGTGTTTCGTGGCAGAGTTTGGCCGCAGTATGCCTGACACCTAACCTCAGCAGAGATGATAACCAGGCAGAGACACTGATCCCCCAGGCAATTCTGTAGGACGCTGTGATCGGTGTTAGACACATATGTAATGCGTGATACCTCCCTCCTACTCAGCGCAGTCTGGCTTCGAGGTTCAGGTTCAGGCCATTATCAATTTTCACTAGTTTACACTTCTTATTGACTAAAACGCATGGGAATCGTGAGGAAGAAATCAGAGCAATGATCTCCCCATGTAGAAACTTGTCTCTGATGGGTCATTACTACATCTTCTGCTATAATGTCATTTTCTGGAAACCTGCTAAGCTCTGGCTTCCGAAGTCATTTGTGATGAACTACCCCAAAGGTTATTTAATTGCTTTGCAGAAGAGTATTTTCTTTTAACAGAATTTGAGTTTCTGCCATGGTGTTTCACTGGATAATCCATGATTAGCTATTTGTCCTCAGAAATGCCGCTGCCATCTGCACACAAAAGGCCTGCATGACTAGGCCTTGTATTTCTTTTGTTCAAGACATCCAAGTCCAAACCCCAATCAGTCTCAGATGTCCCAGGTCCCGGCTCCATTCCTTCTGTGGCTTGTGCTGGAATGTGCATGTGAAGAATGCCTTGGCAATCTGCGCTAAACATGCTGCTTTTCATCTCGCAAACAGCTCAGCTTTCATAATTCAATTAAGGAACTGAAAAATTAAGTGTACAGTGGGGAGCTGCTGCGATACATAATTACGATGCTTAGATTTCTTTAGAGTGGCAGCCAACCTTAAAGACCCCTAAGGATTTCCTTTCACGTATTACTGAGCTACGGTCCCATGTTGTTCCAGCGAGATACTGCAGACCTTTGAATAAAAGCCTGAAAGTATCTCAGCCCCTGGCATTCTTAGGACACAAGAAAAGTAGATCTAGGGCCAGGTTAGGATCTGGGTTCTGGTTTCAGTATAACTCCATTAAGATCATTCTGGATTTGATTAGATTTATTTTGAGAACAGAATTCCTATATTTGAGAACTTCCGTCTTAAACTAGAAGTGAAGTTCTGGCACAGAACTGTCAACAGAAAAATTGCTGACCTCCTCCGTCCTCACTTGACTCTGTTCCCACCTTCTTGGACTTTATTGAACATTTTCCTTTATAAAGCTCCTCATTTGTTAGTGACTCTTTGTGAGGCTAAATGGTTAATGAATTAAATTAGCTACGTAGGGGGGAAGGCAGGCTGCATGCACACACTCACTGCTGACTCAACTCCAAGATGCAATTTTCATCAACTGATCATAATGATTTTATTCTTTTTCTAAATTAAAAATAGAATCTATTAATAAACAGAACCACAACGGGTAATAAATTGACAGATTGTTTTATACTTGACTTTGGGGAAAAATTACCATGAAAATAGCAGATGACAGTGGCATTTCAGTGACTTAAATGGAAGGGAGGACTCAGGGAATCAGATACAATAGCTACAGAGAGCTCCCAATAAAGGCAAAGCATCCTCTGCCAAGATCACAGTGGCGCGTGGGCAGCTCACAGACTGATCTAGCAGTCGAATGTCACAAAATGTCAGGTTGTTGTTTACAGACTGGAGACCAGACTGACACAGTGGAGCACCTCGAGTGAAGACAGCGGATTTAATCCACTGAACTGATGAAGGTAACAGAAGAATTTGGCTCCAACTGCCATTTCAAAGCCATTTTTTAGGTTTCTGTCCTACCCTAGAGGACCCAAGCTCTGTTCCAGAAGAACTCTTCCTCTTGGAAGAAAAACTTCTCTACTAGCAGTAAGGAAAATAAAGGAGAAAAAGGTTAGAAGGCGAATTTTACCTTTTTCTTGAGCCATTTCCTGCAGGCAGAAGTAAATGACTCTTGCACCCAGACTGAAGCCAATCAGTGTGACAGGTCGCTTGCCCTAAGGGAGAAGGAAAGGAGAAAGTGCCATCAAATACTGTCCTAGACCTAGAAAGAGAGACTGGCTGCAGGACCCCCGAGACCCTGACACACAAAGCACTTATGCTTGTGCATGGTCTTTTAAACAATTGAGAAATTTGGTTGATTTCAAAGGTATTTTGTATCCTCAAAGTTATGCACAGTTCAATATTGAGAATTCTGCATATCCGAGTATTTTCTGTTTTTTGATATTCGGGAGATCAGTTGAAAGAATCTGATGATCAGAAGGTCCAATAAAGCAGATGTTTCAAAGAGAAACAAAACAGATGCTATTATTGTTTTGAAATTTCCAAATGAAAACCTAATTCAAGGAGCAAAATTTTCCTAGAAACGTTTCAAGAAACAGAAGAAGCAGCTGTGGTATAAAAATATTGACCGCTTCTAGATTGAAGACTGAACGACAGCAGCACTCTGTGGCTGTTATAAAAAGTGACGTGGGGTAAGCTTTTCTTTTGAATAGCCTAATAAGATTTTCTGTAAGATCAAAGGGAACCTCATCTCAACAACGACGAAAAATGGTCTTTGTATTAACCAGGGAGCAGGTGTGCGACGGATTCCCTAGACATCACGCTAACTAGTTTTAGACACTCCAGCACATTGGAATGTTTGTCTTCACAATAGCAAATGCTTAAAAGGCAGTAACAAATGCCTCCAAGCAAAACAAAGGGCTTGTATGAAATAAAAGTTTATTGCCTTTCCTGGGATTGTATTTTTAATGAGAATTCAAGTTTGTTTCTACTCTGCTGTTTGACATCACTGTTATTTGTGACTCGCAGCTCTGGGGCCAGGGCTCCCATAGGGCTCCTCTGTAACAGATACTGGAGTACCGTGCCTGTGAGACGAACACGTGGCCAGCAGAAAGCAGCCTCCCTCCATGCCAGTGACAGCCCAGCAAACAATGTCAGGCTTTTAGGGGGCAGAAATGTCTTTTGCAAGCCTTTGCAAGGGAGGTTTAATAACTTCTGTCACTTCTTTCGGGTACCAGCTCATTCCACCTCTCTGTAGGCACAAACATGGCTCCCAGTGCCTCTCCTGCTGCGCAGTCTGCCTCTTACGTTGCTTTGCTAGTGCCTCTTCATTATCAGTGAATATTTTTAACACTCAGTATTCTGTTTTCCTTTTCGCCTATCTTTACTTTCCGCTCTCAGATTTCCACTAGGGGAGCTGGCCTGGCTGTTTTGTGACATGGTCAAGCCACTTGTCATTTGTGACCTGGATCTCTTGTTCTTCCTTTAGAAAAGCTTTAGGTTAAATGGAACGAATCTTAGCAGGAATTCTCCAATCCCCTTGGGACTTCCTGTTTTTCCCCAATGAACCAGATACATGCTGGTCACCTTCATGCAGCATTTTTCCATTTTTCAGTTTATTATTGATTTTTGTCTCCCTGGAAAGACACCACTTGATAGTTAATTAGCATGACTATAAAACTTAACCTCCGTGGGCCATATCCCTTCCAGACATGATTCCTGGATAATTTCTAGCCGATTACCTGCTGTCGACTGAGCAGGATATGTGCTAGGTGTTTGCCTACTTCAGCAGACCGGTGGAGACACACTCCCCAGGGGTTGTCAATGACACTGGCAACAGTCAAGAGCGAAGCTGGCCAAGTCAAGGCCGTTACAATACCTGCAACACACAAAGCAAACAGCACGGCACAGTCACAAATCTGGGCTGCTCTTAGGAAACATCAAAAGCAAGACAGTTCACTGCAGTTAAAAGCTAAACCTAGGACCTTTTGTCATTTCCAGTTCTTCTTTCTCAAGAGCTGATCTGACAAATGTTTTGCTAGACTAAAGATAAGAAAGGATCTGATGTTCTGATACGGAGGCAAACAGACGCTATACATGAATGTAACCTGCATGTTTGAAAGGTTTATGTAAAGCAGTAAAACCCAGTGTAATGACATGGAGAAATAAACACAGTCACGCGTGAAGGAAGGTGTTTCCAGCTGTAATTTTTAAAGAACGAGTCAATGAACAGAGGCACAGCAATCCTGGAAAGCAGATCTAATTTACAGTTGTGGCAGAGAAGGTTCTCTGGCCACTTCTGCAGGGTGGTGCCGATAGTGCCAAGGGAGATGCCCTCTCAGAAATCTTCCCTGTTTCGGAAAGCCCCTTCAAGCAGACACCAACAGTCAAACCGCACAAGAGCCACTCAAGCAGATCGGAGACGATTTAGGCTCTCACCTGACAAGACAGTGAATTTTAGGGCTTCTTGAGCCATCATGTTCACAAAACCATTCAGCAGGGAATCTAAGGCGTTGCCAAGCTCCATCAAATACTTGGATTCCCAGGCCAGACAATATTGCTCCCTCGACCGCAACATGCTGCTCCATGGTGCTGTGAAGCTCCCTGAGAAAGGTTGCAAAGATGGAATTCATGTTGAGAGCAAACACAACAACGGCTGACTCCTGGCAAGATGAGTTCAATAAAGTATCAGGAAAGAACTCGCAGGACACCGGAATATACTAATGTACTGTGATATGAGAAATTATAATTAAAAATACTGTGAGATTTAGACTCCGTATTTCCACTGTTTTACAATAAATTTGGGCTTTGTAAATAATCATGCAGCTTTAGCTGGCTTGGCAAAGAGTCGTGAAGTATTACGGACGTTCCTCCTGTCATCAGACATCAGGCCAAGTCCTGCAGCTCCATCTTCTCATATAAACCAAAGGAGGGCCTGTCCTCAGAAAGACAAAGTGCTGAACGGCTGCACAGACTGAGTTCAGTGGGACCAGAAGCATGGAAAATATGTAAGATCTTGTCAAAATCTATCTCAGAGCATCTTCCCAGCACTTCAGTTAAGTGGGAAAGGATTGCAGTCATGGCCCTGTCTGAAAACAAGGAATCTACATTTGCAGATCCAGACTGCAATTATTTTTACTTTGCCATCTAGCCTAGTTAGCTACTTCAGTTTAATTTTTTCCCTCCAGGTGCTAATCAAAAGCAGTGCCAGGATGTTTGAGAGATAATGGATAATTGCCACTGTGCAAGTCTAATTTTTGGCTGAAATAACAATTTTTAAGCCATGCTCTCTCCTGTTTGTAGTGTAGCTTGTACTAAGTGGCCAGGAGGGTCCCGGCAACGCTATTAATGGCAGATGAATGCTGAAGGGCAGAGCAGAATTTTCATTTTAATTAACTAAACCCCTTCCCACACTGTTCCTTCCCCAAACCATGCAGGGCAGGTCGAGGCAGCTGCTGACCAAAGTGTCATGAGAGAGCCCCATGCTAGACCGCACCACAATGTCCCGTCAGCTTTGTGAACATACAGCTGGGCAGCTACTGGGAGCTCAAAAATCCCAAAGCAGCGAATTCTGTAAAACTCCTGTCGTCAGTCCCTGCGTTTTAGGGAGTCATGCAAGTGTGTAAATAGACAGACACAGCTGTGAGGAGGGAAATGGATGACAGTTCTAGTTTTGCTTTTTTAAACATTATAGCAGATTGCTAGTTATGGAAGAAGAATGTGTCATTTGTAACTCCCTTTTAAGGGCAAACAGACACAAAAAGGTTCCTGAAGGGACACGCTTGTCTTTGCAGCAGTGCCTGGGAGCCCTCCAACCCCAAGGATTTGAACCCCTGGCAAAGAGACAATGAGAAAAGCCAAAGTGCAGTACTGTGAAGTGAAAATAACCTTACTCTGACAGCAAGCTGCAACCTAACAAGCAACAGGACAGAGACATCCTTCTGCGTTAATGATACCCAATGTTAATCATGATGCTTCTGAATAAATTGGCAGCTGTTCAGTCAGGTTGCTGAACACATCAGCAGACAGTTGACATATGTTATATGACAAGCTACACTGGAAACTAAAACACTGCAGACTTTTCAAGGTTGTTGCCTGTAAGTTCACCTCCCGAGTGCTGTGCTTAACACGATTTACTTGACAGAACTTTCTTGCCAATAAACCTCATTATCTGGCAGATACCGAGAAAGAAAAAGACACTATTTTCTGTTAATTGCTGGAGGATAAACATAAGTCTCAGAGATAGGTGAGACACTTTGTACTAGTGCTGGAAATCATCCACCCCAAACAGACCTTTCCTAGCAGAACTCAAAAGCATTTATTAACAGAAACAACCCTGCTATGACTACTACCAATCCTACTATCACTACCAATTTACTGCCCTCTCTCTTTTGTTACAAAGTCTTATGTTGAGAATTGATCTCTTTTAGTCAACAGGGCATGCAAGTGTGGGGAAGACCTGGTGCTGCGAGAGCAGAAAAACTGCCTGGAGGGGAGCAGAGATACGGCTCTCCAGGCTCCTCTCAGTTTCCTCATCTTGTTCTTACCATATTTGCCAGTGCACAGCCATCCAGTAATTGCTATGGTGATATGAAGCTGCTTTCCTTCAGTAAGTGGGAGGAATTCAAACTCTTCTATGGCTCCCACACGCTTCTTCATCTTGTATCCTACACACAGCAAGGCAAAATCACAAGTCTCAGAAATCGCACAGCAAGGACAGACTTTGCTAACAGTAGAAGTTCGTAAGAAACTACTTGGGTAATTTGGATAAGGCTTTTTTCCTTTCCAAAATCCTCAGCCACTCCATGCATTACTTGGAGCTTGGTATGGAGCCAGCATGACCCTTCTGAGCTTGTCTGATCCAAGGGAATCCCAGCAGAAGGCTTTTTTGCTGCAGATCAGACATCAGCTCTAACAGCTGCCACTCTCCACGCCAGCATCTTTCTAATCCAAAGCAGCAAGCTTTCATTTCCTTCATAAGCCACATACCAAATATTAATTTCCTACTTGGTCATCAGGGGATACACAGAATCTTAATCAGCATTGAAATAAAAATTTCATAGTTGTAAGATTACACCTTAAGTTGCTTCCCTTGCTCTGCAGAGCTGAGTTGAGTCATTAGCTCTGCATTTGCGGACATGATCCTGTCCCTCAGTAGCTGAGAAACGTGCGGTCACTCTCTTACCAGTAAGTCCAGCTCCAGCTGCTCCAAAAAGGGATGCCATGACAGCAATTCCAGCAGTCGAACCTAAAGCAGCTGCTCCAGCACTTCCAAGGACAGTGGCAGCTCCCGCAGCAACCAGAGGGGCAGCAAGACCCCCCGTCAAGCCTGAAGATGCAACAAGTAGTATCACCAAACTATTGCCACTTACAAAAACCAGGCAGTCGTTTCCCTATGCTGTGTGAGTACTGCTAATGCTCCTGAAAGAGTAGAAATGATGGTCTTTTTTGCATCAACACTAAGGGGACTTTCTGAGACCTTACCCAGGCCCTGAATCTCTGCTCAGATTCTTTGACTACTTCAGTAAAAATAAAGAATAATTTAAAAGTCAAAGGAAGAATGTGAGGTAGACTGAGGTAAGCTATGCCCTATTTGCTTAGGAAACACTGATTTAGTCTCACACGGTTCCGAATTCGGAGATGAATATCTGATGCTCCTATAACACAAAAGCAAAAGAGGAGGAAACATTTTTTAAGAGGGACGACCGCAGTTTAACACTTCCCCCAGCCAGTGAAGCTACACTGGAATAACTTTCCCAGCTCATTCTTTCAGTTTTATTTTTGCGTGGCTGAAAACACTTTTCTTGGATTTGGGGTTTCTTTTCTTGGGTTTTTGTTTGTTTGTTTGTTTGTGTGTTTGTTTGGGGTGGTTTTTTTTGGTATCTGAAGTGACATACTACTTCCAGCCTAGCAAAGAAAAGCAGCGAACATTTTAATATTACAGCTTGTCCTAAAGGTATGATGGCTTCTGTTGCCGAACGTGTCATTCAGACACCCCCCGCCCTGCGCCTAGTGCTGTACGTGCAGTTCAGGAGCAGGTCTCCAAAACGCCTAGGGCAGCCTCACCGATCACTGTTCCGCCCCCAACGGTTGCCAAACCGATCAGCAGGTATCTTTTGAGGTTTTTTCTTCTTTCTTTCCTTTTTCTTGATACTTCTGCAGTTCTGTGGGGGAAATAGAAGCACAAAAGCTGTCGGAAAAGCCTAACATATAACAGTGCTGCATCAGAATCTGCTTTTATTCTCCTCACTGTAATTTCCCTACCGGGAACAGTAAAAAGTAACATGCAGGTGTGGACTGTGACAACACACTCCGATTTATGAGCATGGACATAAACCCACAGATTTAAATTGAAACGGTTTAATTGCTGACAAAAGCCAACAGATGTTACTTACTTGGAAAACCCTTCCTAATAGGGCTGAAGCTTGTAAAAAAAGAAACAAAAAGTCAAAAGCATTTTAATAACTATATACTGCTTATGTGTCTTAAAAAAACACAAGAAAGCTAAGTGGAAACAGGAAAAAGTGTTTGAAACAAAAAAGAATAGGGGTAATTTATGCTAACAGAACAAAGAGATGGAATTAAGCTATTTTCCAACAATAGCATTCAGCTGCTTTCTAATTGCACATCACAGTATAATAATATAATAGGTATTAAACACAGTCATTAGTTCATTTGACTGTGTTCATTGAAGCTACATTTTAACAAGCTTATCAGAAACAGGTGAATAAGCCTAAAAGGAACAAATATGACTTATTAGGCACTACTTTTTGCTTCATTCCACTTTCTTTGGTTTCTCTCTTACATATGTCCCACTTCAGAGGACAGTGCAAGAAACAGAGGATACTGGAGTGAGATTTTTACAGAGGAAGGTTCCTTCTAGCCTGCTTACGCAGTGGTTAATCTGGGCCTTGAAACATGAGAATTTATCTTGCTTCCAAACTTGGATATTCTCCCTCTTAATCCTAGCCTAATTGTGGATTTTCATTATCCACATAATTGCCTAATCCTTCCTGGAACCCCCAAAGCGCACTGTAGTTTTGATAAAGACCGTTTTAGATGAGTCCCAAACAATCCGCAGCTTTGTAAAACACCACAGGAGGAGAATGAAGCACACTGGGTGAAATCCCTGCGTCGCTGAAGTCAGTGGCAGAACTCCGACTGACTTGCATGGCACAGAGACTTTGTGTCCACAGAGATCCTCCCAAAAACATCCCGTGTTACCTTCTGCAGCAGCAAACGTAGCTGTCTGCAGAGAACAACAGCGCAGCCTGCAATGGCACCTCTTCAGCAATTTCCATGTGACCACGTTCACTTTCTACCGCCCCTGGTCACACCACTATTTGCATATGCCATAGTTTGTGCATGCGGTCATCAATCTGGATGCACGGCTTTGGAAAACATTGCTCCTGGAGTTCTTTAAATGAGTGCTGCAGTCTGGCTGTTAATACCTAAGTTGGCAATATCCAGCAATTTCTGTTCTATATAGTGGTTCGTCAGCTTTTATAGTCACTGTGCTGTTGTCTGGGGCTGAAAATAATGACATCAAGAGAGCTGAAATATGGCTAGCCTGGCTTTGGGTGCAATAATGAGCAATTTGAGTTATGTGGGCAGAAAGATAGTTTGCAGCTAAAGCCTGCCTGAAGATGCAGTAAGTAAAACTACTGCCATGAGAACTTTTACCTGTCACTGCTTTCCTTCCGTAGCTGCTAGCAACCGCTTTTGACAGTTGCTTTCCTAACAGCTGCTGCATTACAATTATCACTTGATTACCAGACGGCTTTTTATCCACTGTGGTAATTAACGGCCACTTCTGGTACTTCTCTACCCTCAGTGATCTTGGATATGCAGCTTCTTGCCCGAACCACAAATTATGTGCAGAGAGATTTTATAGGTGGAATGACAGGTCATTTTCCAATGATGGAAAGCACCAGGAGCACACATTAGCAAGCAACTGGTGTCATGTTTTCCAGTTTCTTACAGAACCGTGTACAAAAGATTGGTTCACACCTGCAAGTCAGGACATGTTTGGTGCTAGTAAAATGGATCTAAGTGTTTGGAGCATTGTTCTATAGATGACTATACTGTACATTTAACCTTGCACACTCTGGGCCACAGGCCAACACACCCACAGCAGCAAAGGCGAGAGCAAAACCTTCTGTTAACAAATATCAGTAAAAAACGCCTGTGCAGAAGCTGCCAAAGCCCTGTTCGGTTGTTACTGTTCCAAAACCTCTTGCAGCGGATGGTCAAAGCTGGAAGCATCCTAAGCAGATGTCAGTGTATTCCCTGCCCCAGAAGTCTGTGAGGTCAAAGCAGTGACAGGTTTATGTTCCGCTTCCTTTCCCCACTGTCTCCTAACTTTAAAACAAAGGGTCACCGATTCCCCATATATCTCAGCCTTGTGCTAGTTCTAGTGCTGCAATAATGAGTGTTCACACTGCAGTCTTTATAAAGATTTTTTTTTCCCTTTTATCTAATAGGTATTTATTTCTGTGGCTGCAACTTGGGCAAAGAACAAGACTGAAATCCATGGTTTTCACCACACCAGATAAGCACAAAACCCACTGGGCTGGCTGCAACGTTTGAAAGCCAGGTTCGTAAGTGTGCAGCGTAATTCTCCAGTCGCTTTTGCCATTATCAGACACATTACTATCTTTTGGGGTTGTGCTACAGGAGCCACAGGCCAGTTGATATGGAATTAGGTATTGGAGCATCATCTTTGCAAGTGACACCGCGCCCTTGGCTTCGGTGGTTTGCTGTGCTAAAGGCCCAGGATTCAGATTGTTTCCACAGCCACAGCAGAACAGTCCCCAAGAATACCAACCCTTGCTCCTGCATGCTAAGTGGTGTCCTGTTTAGCAGTCCACGATCTTTGAAATTATTCTGACTTTCCCTTTTCACAGTGCACTATAAAGTTAAGCTTAGTTTATATAAAGCTATAACTGAAAGATACCTGTCACATGCTGGACCCCACGTAACGTCTGAACTGTACTGTGTCAGGGACATTGATTAAAGCCTTTATTAGCACTCAGGTTAATCTCATAACCTGTTTGCTGAGCTGACAGATAAAAATATTAAATGTTCCCTTGAAAGTCGACTATGGACATGTTTACTGCCTTACATATTGCTAAACCTTCGCACAATTCCTGCCTGATACATGGAACATACAAGTACTACATTTCTTGTAGGTACCAATTTTTTGGCTGTTTCGCATCTGGGAAGTGGTGATCTTATAACACAGAATTAGGAGTCAGGTCTGTAAGTATCTCAAGATGCAGACTGTTGCCCTTGGAGATCTCCCTTCAAGAGGAGTGAGCTGTCTCTTTAACAGGCACAGAGAAGGACAGGTCCATAGAAAATCAGCAGCTGAGGATCTGCTCTGGAAATTTACATTCTGTAAGAGGCAGTTCTATCTAAAGAATACTGGCTCAAGATAAGAGACACAAGATCTTTCTGAAGTATTTAAGCAAAATCTACAGTCTAGGAGAAGCAACTGCAACAAGGAGATGCGGGAGTTCAGTGTGAAGTAGCCCTTACCAGCCTGCAAGGTTGGGTCTCAGCTCTAATTTTAAGAATGCTGAGCTTTCCTGCTCCTCAGTGCAGCCAAAGTGCTGCGAGAGCTCTGCAACCCTAATCAAGCCATAAATTATCGTGCTAAGAGCCATGGGGGGAATGATCAGAGACTGCACTTAGGCACAAGTAATTACTGCTAAGCTTTCAAGAACCAACAGTATTTTTTCATCCTGTAGTCAACCCAAACGTTCTTACTCTGACTCTTCCTCTTTTTGTTCCTTCAGGCTCTCAAGCAGAGATTCCTCCAGGACTTCCAGCTCCTCCAAGGGGATTCTGAGCAGCCAGGTGATGTGGCAGATCAACACCCTCGCTCGAGCATCGTAGTACCCTTAAACAGAGGGAAGCCCAGGAAATCAGTCAGTCTGCATCGCACCAGATTAAACAGCGAGTGGCATGCTCAGCTGCGCTACTGGCCCATGTCACATCAAGCATAGCTCCTTCCCTCAGGCCCTCTTCGTCTTCCAGGTACTGGAAGACAGCTGCTGTTATCTAGAGAAGGATAAATGGAAAAATCCTTCTTCCCTGCAAACCTGATCCTGTGAATAAGAGTCACTACACCAGGCAATTGTCTCCATGGCGGAAAACAGATCTGAAACCCTTCGGTCTCCATCCTCTGTGACAGAGGCCTTTCGGCTCTGGATAGGCTGCATCTTTCTTCTCAACAGAGAAACGCTGCAGCAAGACCAGTCCTAACTGGACATATATGCATATATATATATAGGTAACATGACACAGTACACCTCAACTATGCACCAGTGGAAGATATGGTATCTTGTAAAAATGCACCTCCATACCAAACCTTTATTCAGTTCATCTTGTTGGCAACAAGAGGGGCTCTGGAGTTTACAGTTACACACTGGCTCACCTTGCAGCATCACTGACAATTGTTTGCATTTATTCTTCACCACAGGAATTGCGGGAGTGGACAGTGCACTCAGACAACACATAACAGGAGTCATGACTACTCCTGGACTTACAGGCAGGTGTTTTTAAAGAAAAGACGTTTTAAATGTAATAGATTTTAAATTATTTGAGCCAACTCTTGCTTTTTTAATATGTTTCTCTCAGTAGCACCTGCTGCTTCCTGATGGTAGTCTTTTGTAAAGGGTTCTTGGTGCACTCTGAGACGAAAAATGCAATTGCTTCTCTAGGGGTGGGTGAAGATACCAGCGAGACCCAACTACAAAGTATGCTTCTGATACCCGCTGCACGTAGATCAAATATGGCATTTGGCAATCTGTTAAGTTTATTTATTTATTACCATCATTACCAAGATTCCAAACTACTTTGGTAGGCTTGACTGACGCCACTTTTAAGATGTGTGCTCGGTTGAGAAATAAATATAGTATTTATCTTCACTTCATCTCCGATACGTGCCATATCTTGCAAGTCCAAGCAGGTGTTTAAATGAGCAGCCTTCTTGCTTCCTGTCTGCTAATACACAGCTTAGCTTTTTACTTAGCTAGCTTGGCTGTAAGTCAGTGAGGCCTGAAAATATATTTCTTTTAAATTCCAGCTTAGCAAAATAAGCAGTTTTGCAATAACTGACTTGTCAATTTTCCATTAAAAATAAAACAAGAACAAAAATGGTACTTTGTTCTGCAGTGAAACAGGCTAATCAGCAACCAGTGAGTTCTGTCCTGTGAGAACATGTTAAAACACAGAGATTTAAAAACCGCAAGTAGTGATATACAACAGGCTTCTTTTAGAAATGAACATTTTGTTCAGTAGGCAGTCTTTATTTCATTAATTTTATCAGACTAATCCATGTTATGGGTTGTAAACCAGAAAATTGTTTTATGTGTACTACAATATACGAGTAAAATCACATTTATTTATAATAGGCTTCACAAGATACTCTGGAATTAATTCCCTGATTTTTTTTTTTTTCTTTTTAGGCAATAAGCAATCTGCAGAAAATTTGCTAGGCTGAGATTTTCTTAACAGTTTCACTGCCTTCCTAAAGGAAGAGGTTGCCTGCACCCATGGAGATGCTGCAGAAAAAACACCCCACTCGAGGTATTTAACTCCAGAACTTTTCTACCATCGCATATATTTGCATGCCAATGCACGGCATGTGAACATAAGGAGGTGATCAGTTGTTCAATTTTTAACAGGTATTATTAATCATTCCTAATGTAATAGTTGCTGTTCCTGTAGTGGATGCAGGGAGGGCATGTGCTAATTTTGCTATAAAGGAAGCTAAGATAAAACAGGATGGTAGCTTGAGCTTTTTGAGCATTTTAAAGTATCAGATGTAAGCTCATCTACATTATTCTTACAAAGAACAAATGCTAGGCAAACTTACCATCTCTAAGAGAGAAGGATAGAAGGTCCTAAAAAGAAAAAAAGAATATTAAAGTTGAAACTGATGATGTATGCTTGGGGGTATCAAAATGGAGGCATGAAAACCCATCGCACTATGATTTAATTACTGCCGCCTGTCGGTTCAGAAGCATGGGAAGCCAGCAAGCTACAATTCAGCAAGGCAGCACAGAGAAAAGCCAGATGCTTCCAGTCCAAAATTCCCTATATGCAGGTACAAACAGCTGGACAGAAGTAGATAATGCTTGATATATGCTGAAGCATCCCATATTTTCGGTTATTAGCGATCCCGTTGCAACTGAGAGCACTGTGATCACATCTTACTTCAAAGTTTGGAGAAACAGGGCTCTAATCCTCCTACCACTCGAAAGCCTGCTGCTCGCTATGTAGTCATATACACTCTTATTTTCAACATGAGTAGCAGGTTTGAACGCTACTCTAATGGACTAGTGGCCTCTATTTCCTTTGGCATTCTGGGAATTCACAGCTCTAGGTGGTAAAGCTGAACTGGCATGAAGTTCTTTTGGATTAAGTGCTAAAAAATAGAAAACTCAGAATTTATGGCCATCTGTCAAGACTGAGAGACTTGACTTTGTGTTGGCTCTTCACTGAAAAAATAGGAAAAAACAATCAATCCAACAGATGTTTTCTATGGACAAGTCCAAGTAAAAAGAGGCCAGTGGTTTTACTACTGTGTTCTCCTCTTTTATTGTCACTGGCCAAATTTTAAGTTCTTTATGTAGCTACAACACTAAGCACAAGCTCAGTCTAGCTACTTCCCTCTCCTACATACAAATAAAGCGCAGCTGAATTTTACAGGGAATCCTTCAGCCCTTTGGGAACACAAAACCTGCAGCCAGAGATGTAAGAGGCTGCCAAAGAGTTTATGATTATTAGTCCCATAAGCTCCTAAGCGAAATTTGTATTGTAAAAATGTCTCTAATCTTTTCCCTACTGCATGAGAAGTGTAGAACGGAGAACAAGTCATCCTTAACCAACTCCTACTAGAAGAGGGGCAAACTGTAGATATTATCCAGGCAGAAGTAAGTGCCTGGACTCTGAATACCATTTCAACATGAGAAGAGTCTGCTATTTCATAAAGGAGAAGAGAGCTTTTGCACAGGACTAGGGAAACCAAAGGATTAGGGCAGCTGAACTCCCACCTATGGGTGCTTTTTCACCAGGTATAGCCCCAAAACTTCGCTCCACTGCTGCCTAATATTTTCACACACACACCTCTGCTGCTGCATATCTGCATGGCTGTTCCCATCCACAGGGAAGCCGCCTTTTGCTTGCCTGTCCTGCAAATCCTAATGGGATAAGGATTTCCAGAAGGTATCTGTTGGGCTGGGCTCTGCACAAAGCACTCATCACTGCTCCTTCATCCTGCATCCCAATGGCCAGAGTGCCCACCCTAGAAAAGGAAGGTCCTGCTTTGCTATCTCCAGTGTGTGAATAACCCTTTTAATTTAAGTTAGTCACTGAATCAGGTCTCCTCTGTTCCCCTAATCACCATACTGCAGAAAAAAAAGGCTTCTTTGTAGGTCCAGACACGATTAGTATTCTGTGCGTGCACACACGCTGCAGACTGTTCCCCAGGCTGGCTGGTGGGATGTGGGAACATAATTAAGACAACCCCATAATTAAGACATTAATCCCTATAGGCAGAGGGAGGAATGTAACTCAGGTTCCCCAAAGCCTCAGTGCCATAACTACTCAGGTATTCGATACATGGGCACCATCACCTCCTCCCTGGCCACAGTTTTGTGGGGAAGGGTTGGCATAGAGGTGTCAAAGCCCAGCAGAAGGTCCAGTGCTGGGAGTCCCAAGCAGAAAGTTGACCAAGCGAAGAGCCTGAAATCTAGAATAAGGTGAAGCTTGTGACCTTGTTGCCATCATTTTCCATGGACTAATGTAAGCAGCCTCTTGAACAGGGTTACTGGTTTGTGCAGAGCCCATTTGTAGGCAATAAATTCTCCCTGTGTGTTGCAAAGGGGGCCGTGGGTGTTGACTCAAGTCCTGTACAATATGCCCAGTATCATCTGTGGCACCTAATAGCAAATAACCTTTTTTAAAAATCTGAGCACTTACGTACGTGCATTTCAAAAGGTGAGGGATGGATACAGGTAATCAGGAAATAAACTGGAATCACTGTTTTTATTGCATCTGTGCCATTATTGGATTAGAGCCCTGATTCTCCAAACTTTGAAGTCCTGTCTGATCACAGTGCTTTTAATTGCAACAGGATCGCTAAGAACCGAAACTCAACTACTTCCAGTTGGTTTAGGCTTTGCAAGCACTGCTGTGCAGTCACCTGGAATCCAATCAGCATTGATTAGATTAGTTCACAAGTAGTTTGTTTTCCTCCTCTAAGCAGCAGTTACTGTATTTCACTCTTATTTTGAAGTTGGTGTTTGAATCTCCCTGTGAACTCTGAGCACAAGACTACCACCCATATGATTGAGAAACCTCACAAAGAAAGGGAAGTGATCTTTATTCAGAGTCTTTGCCAGCTTTTTATGAATTACTACAAGTTCAAAACCCATTTCCTCAACAACAGAGAGCATCCAATCCACATCGCAGTGGATACGTGGAGAAAAACACAGGAAAATGGGCATCCTCAGTATGTTCAGAGCAAAAAAACTGATTCATAATAAGAACTGCCAACATTTTCTCAACTATCATCCTTTCTTCACCTGTTTTTGTTGCACTGCCTTCTCACACCATACTCACAGACTGTGTTATGACTACTGTCCTTAAAGGATTTGGTTACCCAACATTTGCCTGTGTTAGTCATCTGCAACAAATGCAAACAAAGATAAAAATCCATAATCCCCAAATTTTTGTTGACTCAATGGTGAGCTCAGCTCTAATCTCCTGACCTCATGTATCATCCCTTCAGCACCTTTGAGATGGAAGGCATTCAAAAATGTAGGCATTAGTGCCAACAGGACCCTGCTGCTGAACACGCTGAGCAATTGCAGTGTATACTTGCTAAATAAACAGTGAATGTTGCATCAGTAGCAGCTGAATACAAAGAAACAAGAGCACCATAAAGCAACACATCAAGAATTCAATAAGCTTTGTCCCGTAGCTTATTTATTTTCAGGTGAGAAGGAAAAAGCTGATCTGAGCTTGATACACTGAAGTTTCCCACCCACCAGTATGCTTTCCCAAAGACACCTTGCAAGCCTTTGCTGCCTTGCTCTACAAAAGTCTTTAATTCTGTCTTTCCTTTGGCAAAACCAATCACCTTGCCCATCCACATGGCTGCGTAAGGTACTGATGTTGTGGCATTAGACTGATTGCTATACCTGATCTCTGCTTTCAACTGATCCAAGAATTGTTATCTACGGCTTCTATATTCCACCTGAATCCAGGTGGTAACTGCCTCAGTTCTCTGGCTCAGAGCAAAATACCACGCACTCCCACGGACCCAAAGCCACTTTTGTAAAAGCACGTGGAGGCTTCATGCAACATAAGCTTGGAGCAAGCACAAGCTAGATTTCACCAAAATTTCACCCTCAATAAATTCAGCAGCAACGCAGGAGGACTTGCCTAAATCGAGAAAATCCATCCTGACGTAGAGAGAATGAGGGAGACAACCTGGGAAATACCAAGCCATCTAAATGCAGAAAGAACCGAGCGTGGATTTATTGATTTTGAGCAAGCAACATCAAAACAGCTACTCTTATTTCAGAAGATCTGTCCTAACTTATTAATTAAGCTTAAGATTCTCTGTCGCTGTACTTATACTGTTATAGGACTTTGGGCATTGTAACATTTGGGTGTTTGGAGAAGATCCTCTGAGGCCTTTTACAGACTGACTAGGAGATGGAAAGATGGCTGAGATAATGGGAGCTGGTCATGACAACCAAGAAAGTTCACACCTATCATATCTTTATTTATGCAGCTGTGTTCTCACATTTGCTTTTTTGTTGAGCCATTGCTAAAGGTGAGTGTGTGATAACTATTACTCAATACCAGAGAACTCTCGGCACGCAGGATGTCTCACTGTTTCCTTGTGTACAGCATAAGCGCAGGGTGCGAGGTGACAGTGGCCACGTTACGCGTGGCATCAGCAGCAGCCTACCGTGCTCTTCACCCTGCATGGCATAACCTGTGGCTGGATGAGGAGATATCTTCCCCAGCTGAGCCTCTGCAGCAAAGGCGAACACCACCAAAATGCTTCGCCTCTTTTATCTCTACATCAGCTTTTACATCAGAACATTACAGAGTAGTCCCAGTCTCACTAAGACTTTCTCAGTGAAAGAAAATAAAGTCACAATAACTTATTTCCTCCCAGCCAAAGCTGACTCTGGAAAATAGAGTCCAGAAATTGTGCTATTTGGAGCATATATGTAGAGGTGTTGTGTATTACAGGTATGGTGAAGGGGCTTTTAAACAAATTAAAACCAGGTGTATCATGTTCAGTGTTTCACCAAAATCTGTAGAACGCATATATGAATCAAAACCACTGCATTAATACAAAATCACTGCAATAATACAGTCAAAGTAAAAAGATTGACCGTTCTCTGTTCTGCAGAGTGAAAGCATCAAAGACACAAGCCATTAATTAAACAGACAGTAACCATGCCTCGTGTTCATCGCTTCTGTGAGCTGTTTATGGATAGAGAGACTGCCAGTCACCCACACAGCTGCTCAGAAATATATGCATATTAGAAATATTGATTTTACTGCCCTGACTGTACAAACAGAACTTCAGTTGCAAACAGACACATATGACAAATCTCTTCTGCAAAAGCAAACAAGGGCAAGGGGAGCAAATGAACTGACCTGGGTAATGACAGCTGGATTTTCTTTCAAGATGGGATCCTTCAGCAAAATCTGGGCAAAAGCTTCTGTGCCCTCACCTCCTAAGTGGCGGGTAAGACAGCAGCGGGCAGGTCCAGCCATTTCACAAAGTCCTCAATGAATTCATTCCTGAAGGAGCTGTAAGGCAACAGCAGCAGTTCAGGCTCTGTAACTGGCTATTTTTGTAAACTTGGAGGGTCTCTGCTCTCAGATGTTGTTCACACAAAAATCAAAGCATCTTAAGAAGTCAGCAGAAGTCGAGTTGCTACACAAGCTGGCTAAACAAACAAGCAATCTGAGTGAAGCTAGACCTTTCTTCAATACAGGCTTTTGAAGTCTGCATTATTAAGGATGCAATTGGTGCTGAAGTACAAAAGTCTTAAAGGTGTAAAAGAGAAAGTCAATACAATTAAGAAAATACCTAAGGTCAAAAGGATCTTCCTCAGAAGACCCCACACAGACTCTGATACCAGCTCCATCTGAGCTGCTACCCAAAAGCCACCTCCTTTGCTCGCCCCTTGCTACCCCGGGTAGTACCTTTGCTCTTTTTCGGGGAACAGCCATGCCAGGGATATCCCACAAAGTGCCGCGTAAGCAAATCTTCCTGGTTCACCCAGCCGCTGGCCCAGAAACACACATGGTTCTTTTTCACCTCCCTGTTCATGCCCACTATGCTGTTTTGAAGCCCAGCTTTCCCATTTCTCTTCTGCAGCCATTTTTAACCTGCAGGTTCAAAGAGGAAAAAGCAGAAGAAAAGAAAAACCAATAAACCGTTGGAAACCAGGAAGCAAGGAGACAAATTGCCTTTGTTTTTCCAGTCACACTTGCTGTCGGTATAAAGTCAAGTCTGTTAAGGTCCAGCTTGTGTACACCCCGCCCAACATGGTGCTGTGACCAAAGAAGACAACAGGAGACTTTCTGTTCACCAGTTCTCAAAAGTTTTGCACAAAATGAGCCGGCAATACTTCACGCAGACAAAATGAGACGTCCCCTTCGAGACGCAAAGAGACTGGGCTCCATTCAGGCAGATGATTCACATGTTTACTGCAAAAATAACATGTAAAATAAAAGCTCTGCACCTGGTACAGGGACCACAACAGCTGCCTGGGAAATAATTTGCCTCTCTCATCCTCAACCCAAATTGCTCCTCTGTTTATTTTGCTGATGGCATTAAGAAAGTTGAGTCCAGCTGCTGCCTCTGATGAGGAGGACTTTTAATGTGTCCCACGGACATTGCTATGCTCTGCTTGTAACATTCTCTCCTCTATACAACCTGCCACTGCTTTTTCCCTAAACAGAAGACCTCTGCGCCACACGGACCTTGAGCTGGACCAAACTATTATTTTTCAGAGTGCAGACGTCCATGCTTCCAACTGAACGGCTTGTAACTGCTCCCCAGGAGCTCCCCTGATGATACAAGTGGCTAACCAAGATGACCAAAATCAGGCAGACGTGACACTGTCTCATTTCACAACAGCTCATTTCACGGTTTAATGTGGGCAACAATCTGCTCCAAAGCTCGCTTACATCACCTGAAATTTCTACTGACTTCACCAAGATTCAATCGGTTTCTAAGGGGCCCAAACCACCTATTTAATTATATACCTACTATTTAAATGTTTCCTTTCTTCTGAACCCTGTAGAAAGTGGCTAAATAGGAATTAGGAGCCCGTGACACTATAACTGAATCTCAGAGGATGCAGGCACCATTTATGGGATAGTTTTAGAGTCCTAGAAGAAAGAAATACAGCACAGGAGCAGCTCTTTTTAGAGAGATTTTATTATCTTTAGAGAGATTTTATTATCTTTAGAGAGATTTTATTATTGTGCTGTCTGTCATGGTCTTCCAAGAAAGGCATCTGTCTTGCCTTCCCACCTAGACATTTATTCGAGGCAATCAGTATTTCTCAAGGCTTGCACTATTTAACTGCTGATGTATAAATGCAAGGAAAATTCATCGCTCAAGGGCCAGTGTCTATTGCAGCTCGCACCTCTCTCCCTGGGAGAGCTCAGCCCCCCGCAACATGTATCTCCTGATGCTGTCTGGCTTGAGCACACAGGTCCGCGGCATCTCAGTGTGTTTCCATGGAAACATCACATTCCAGCAACATGGGAGCACAAAGTCCAGGGGAATAAATAAACTCTGTTATTTCCGTACCAACCAGAGAAGGGAAGGGCCAGATTACGCTTCCCTGGGGAGAGCAGGCGCCTGGGATCAATCCCGGCCCCGGCGTGCCCGCTCCGGTACCAGCCTCAACAGCATTTACACTTGCAGAATTGCAGCTGTGAAGGTGGCACGAGACGTGCCCTCGTGCTTTCCAGTACTTTCTTACAAATCCCAAGATTATTTTATTATCTCAGGAGCTCTAAAACCCTCATCTGGCCCCTCAAAATCCATTTCACATCACTCGCTAGGCTCTGGTCTTCCCAAACCATCTAGATTTAGGGACCAGTTTACCCAGAAATAATCTAATGCCGAAAGTTTCAATAACTTTGTAATTACTTGGCATGTCTGCTCACCTCTGGACACAGATTTATTAGATTATTATTGGAGACTGCACTGCAAATAAAATCCCCTTCCCCACTGTTATAGGATTATTTATTGACTTGTTAGCACAGGCTCATAGGAAAAGTGAAGCAGCTAAAAAGAACCCAGGAACAATACAACTGTTTAACCTTGTTTCCCAATAACATAAAAGATGTGACCAATTATGGAGCGACACCACAGTGGCTTCTTGCATGCAACTTTATTGCCATTATGCAACAAACAATTCACAATGCTGAGCATCCAGGATACCCAGAGAAAGTTTCTGAAAGACTTTCCTCTGAATATGCTCTGATCAGTATGCTCGGTGTGCATCCCTCAGCATAGACATCTATTTCTTCATAAAAGAAGGAAAATGTAGGCTTGGGTCTTCACACATGCAGCATAAAAAAATGGGAACCTGTGATTTAGTAAAGAAAACTTGGGCCAAGAAGTTTTGCCACTAAATCCAAGATGAGGGAATTGAGAGCTAGAAATATATCCAGAAAGTTATTTACAGCTTGTGGCACTGGAACTCGCGTCTCTGTCTTGAACAATGTGATTCAGCAATCAATAGCATTGCCATAATCTGAACTGTCACTTGAAATTTTTTATCACTTCCAGTGCTTTTCACACAAGGCCCTTTGTTTTCTTGAGGTGGTGTATTTAACATAGTGGCTCCCACAATCATATTTGGAAAGCAGAAAGATAACCGTTTTGTGGATCTAAAGGTGCACATTACACACATGCTCCCTATGGCTGGAAGAAATACAAAGATGCGGGCATAGCATTCATCCTAAACCATGACAGAAGTGATCAAACCACTGACAGGTTAATCTCCAAGACCTTCAAAAGTTAATGAGGCATCTCATTAACTTCAGAGAAGCAGTTGTAGATAATTATTAAGATGGGGCTGGCCAACATGTCCCTTACCGATGCACGGTGGACAACAGCATGGCTGAACTGCGGTTAAGCATCGGACACAACACCATGACTGCGGAAACATTTGGGCTGATGAGTTTTCTCGGGGACTTTCGCAGGGCTCCAGAGCCACACACGTGGCTGGGTGCACCACGACCCTTGCTTTTAATCCATAGATATGGAGTACGAACATGAAATACAATTAATTCAGTCCCAGATAAAATCGTGTCTTGCCACAAAAACACGTGAATGCGATACGGAGGGAAGGGATGCCATCCAGAGGGACCTGGGCAGGCTGGAGAGGTGGGCCTGCGTGAACCGCATGAAGTTCAACAAGGCCAAGCACAAGGTCCTGCACGTGGGTCGGGGCAATCCCAAGCACAAGGACAGGCTGGGCGGAGAGTGGCTGGAGAGCAGCCCTGAGGAGAAGGACTTGGGGGTACTGGTGGATGAGAAGCTCAACATGAGCCAGCAATGTGCGCTGGCAGCCCAGAAAGCCAACCGTATCCTGGGCTGCATCAAGAGCAGCGTGGCCAGCAGGGCGAGGGAGGGGATTCTGCTCCTTTACTCCACTCTTGTCAGACCCCACCTGGAGTCCTGCGTCCAGCTCTGGAGCCCCCAGCATAAGAAGGACATGGATGTATTGGAGAGGGTCCAGAGGAGGCCACGAAGATGATCCGAGGGCTGGAGCACCTCTCCTCCGAGGACAGGCTGAGGGAGTTGGGGCTGTTCAGCCTGGAGAAGAGAAGGCTCCGGGGTTGTGGCTGCCCCCTCCCTGGCAGGGTTCAAGGCCAGGTTGGATGGAGCTCTGAGCAACCTGGGCTGGTGGAAGATGTCCCTGCTCATGGCAGGAGGGCTGGCACCAGATGAGCTTTGAGGTCCCTTCCAACCCAAACCATTCTATAATTCTATGATACAGACGGCCGCAGAAACACGTGCTGAATGTAAAACAGAGATGAGAGACTGAGGGGATGGGGAGACGGAAAAGCCAAAAGCTGAAGGAGCTGCAGAACTGAGCGCGCTGGATTCGGCCGATCCCGATGCCGGGAGCAGCAGCGAAGCAGCCGCGCTGCCAGCGCAGAAACGGGCAAAGCTGTGGAGAGGGACACGACCAGCAGAGAAAAACATGAAGGAGACGCCTCAGCTGGGAGAGCTGCGAGGACCAGCACCTCCACGGCTGCGACGTTCACCTTTAGCGCACCTCCTTTGTGTTTGAAACGCCTTCTGCTAGAATACAGGCCTTTTTTTTATCAGAAAGTAACGCTTTTGACAAGCCCTGAGGAGAAGCAGCC